TCTGGGGATATAATGAATTCCTTGCCCCTGGGAAGTTTACGAACCACAGCGGAACGTCAGCCACTTAAGGGTTCTGTGGAGGGACATAAGTCTAGCTGGGAAGATGGACGAGATGCCTTGATAGATGTTCCTTTTTATTAACTTGTTAAAAGAATAAAAATCCTGTTGCTTAAAACAGTTTGTATATTGTTGGTAGAAAATTGAGGAGTAATGTAGAGGAAGGGGCGTGTGTTTTAGAGCCACACAGACCTGGGAATGAATCCTAGGTCTCTACCTGCAAGGTGGCCTTGCAGAATGTACTGAACCTCTCTGATCGTTGAGTTTTTCATCTGCACAATGGTGATAAAATACCCACTCTTCAGGATGGTTAAGATAACATGGAAGGATTTATGTAAATTTATACATGGCAGCTTGACTCATGGAAGCATTTAGAATGTTAGTTCATAGAATTCCAATGATGAAGCAATGATTTGGGCATAGGTTTAGGAGTCAAAGTACTTTAAAAATCTTTCTGAAGGTTTAATTTCTATCATAATAATACATGGTATGGCTCTCTGGCATTAAAAAAAAAAAAAAAGACGAAGAAGAAAAAATAAAAAACCCCTCACACTTCATCACAATAACATTTGCCACATTAGCACAGGCTTCACAATTCAGCTTCCCCGTGGAGTTTGGTGAGATTTTCAGCTACACTCCCCTCCCCAGTCCCATTTCATATTTTTATTTTGTTGTTGTCTTTTTAAAAAAGGAAAGTCTGGTTGTGTTGCTTATCTACTATTACTTCCAAATAAGAACATGCTTTCATTTACTGAAATTGGATCCCCATTCACTGCCTTGGCACACTCAGGACTGTCTTCTCCAGAGGGTTGGAGGCCTGTTAGATGGCGCACAGTTGGAAGCTGGTGGCACCGAGTCTCTGCCAAGGCTGGCAGACCTTTAAGATGGCATCTGGTGACCTTTTCCCTGAGCCCCCCTGGGTCCTCCATTTGAGATTTGATGTTCTCGGCAGGGGTGTAATCCAAATCAAATGTGAGATCTGGTGAGTTGGAGTTATACCGGAGGTGGGCCAATGGGAAGTCTCTACACTGCTTTGGACAGTCGATGCTCCCAGAAGCCCCTGCAATGTTTCTTTCTAACCCTGAAACTCTGAGCTCTAGTAGACGGTGCCCTAAAGGGCTGATTTGCAGGAAGAGCCCAGTGTGACAGAGGGAACAACTGAACAGCGTTTGCCTCATTTCTTTATCACCCAGCAATGCAGTAATCCTAATTGCTCTAGTTGCAGGATGGCACTAAACTCTTCACGGCGTCCCTGAGAGCTGCAGCCGAGGTCAGAAGTACACATGAAGAAGCCAGTCGTGCCTTGTTTCCAAGATCGTGTCGATGGCATTTTTTTCCTCCTCTTCAAATGGCAAATTTCTATTTTCAGTTCTGCAGGTAGATAGCACACAAGCCTCGAAGAAAGAACTGTGCGTTTGTGAACAGCCTAACAACCGATGTGTGTTGACGAATTGTTTGTGCTAACAACAGGCACATGCCGTTTCTCAGCTGGGGAGTCATTTTCGTGATAATTTTAAAGTGCTATGTATGTTGTTTTTTTTTTTTAAACAGCTTTTACTTTGAACAGATTTAACAGGTTATTTTTGGTTTTACATCTACTGTGACTGTTTTAACAGACAGGCAGATACATTTCACATTTCTCAGGCAATTCTGTCCCGAAACTGCCCACAAAAGGATTTTGAAGGTGATTAACGAAAAGATGATTTATCTCCCTTGCCTTTAGCCAGTGGAGTTAACTCTCTGCCCCAAACCCATTCTTGCCTTCAAATCTGCACTTCCTCCTCCTCTACTCTGTACTCCTCACAAAATGTAAACTTTCATGGATTCTCTCCTGACTCTATGGGCAGTAGGCACTCAGGGGTCATCAGGCAGATTTAGGTTTAAATTCCGGTTCCACTATTGAAAAGCTGTGTACAATGAGACAAATCACATCAACTCTCTGAGACTGAATTCCTTCATCCTAACAACGAAAATAATATAAGCACCTACCTATAGGGTTAATCTCAAGATTAACTACCTAGTGTATGTGAATGGCTCTAATGGGACTGTCATGTAGTTAAACGCTCAGTAATATTTTTTTTTAATTTTTTTTTAACGTTTATTTATTTTTGAGACAGAGAGAGACAGAGCATGAACGGGGGAGGGTCAGAGAGAGGGAGACACAGAATCCAAAACAGGCTCCAGGCTCCAAGCTGTCAGCACAGAGCCCGACGCTGGGCTCGAACTCACAGACTGCGAGATCATGACCTGAGCCGAAGTCAGCCGCCTAACCGACTGAGCCACCCAGGCGCCCCGCTCAGTAATATTATTTTTGCAACCATTGCAAATCCTAGTTATTCGTCTCTCTTACGAACTTCAAATAGCACTGATTCTCTGTAATATTCACTTGACATTGATTTATATGCTAATTAAGTATGTTTCATATTTATGTAAATTTTATACTAATTTCTTTGAACAGGTTATGGAAATATAATGTATCTATCTATTATATATACACACATAAAAATGCACATGTCATATATATAGTCTCACCAAATTTTCGCAAATGGGTTAAACCCTTGTAACAAGTGCCAAGGTAAAAGACAAAACCAAAACCAAAAAAAATTGAATAATACAGATACCACAGAAGCCTTTGGTATTCCCTTCTGGGCTCTACACCTCCCTAAAAAGGTAACCACTACCTAGAAGCTATCGATCTAATTTCTGGAAGCAGGTTTTTACCTGTGGTTAACTTTACTCTTTGTGTTATTTTTGGACAGCCAAATGAAATGAAATTTCTTGAGGTCAGGGATCATATGCTCTATGTCTTCTTTCACTGCAAGAATTATTTGTTAAATATACACCTTTGTCCTCACTTTCCCGCCTTGCTCTGTTGTCATTTGACTGCACCCGTCTGGAAAATCCCAGCCCTGAACGCGCCCATCTCTCCTTCTCCCATCTCCACAAGGACTCCTAGGCAATCCTAGAGAAGGGTATGCCCCCTCTCAGCCCGAAGCCACAAAATTGTGGTCTCCAACCTTCATGGCTACTTGGTTGTACCAAGCCAACCTTTCTTCTTGTTCTGACCAGCTCTTTTCCACTTTTCATAGCAGCTGCCTCAAGCCATCTGCCCTTAGTTCAGACTTCCTTCCCTAGCACTTCCCCCTTGAGAGCCAACAGGGAAGCATACCTTATATATCAAAGAGAAAAGTCAAGCTGTCACCCAATGTATAAATAAATTTGTCTACATCCTCACCTATCTCCCTACTATCCTACCCTGAGGTTTCATTTCTACCTCTGTTCTCTCAATGACACCCCACCTCACTTTGTTGGGGTTCATCATATTTCTTCAATGACATCCTCTCTTTCCCTCTGGCTCAGTTGGCACCATTGACATTTAATTGTGTTAATGTGTCCACTATCCTTCAACATGATAACAACAAAGCCCAATCTGAAACCCTCATTGCATTCCAGTTACCAATCCATCTCTCTCCCCTCTTGCAGCCAAACTTCTTTGCAGAGGTCTTTATGCCTCTGGGATTTGGTTTCTTGCCCCCTTCTTTCCCCAGCCTACTTCAGCCCAGCATCCATCGCCATTACCTCACAGAAGCTCCTTTGTCAAGATTCCTGCCGGTGTCCTTATGGCTTAAAACAATGGACACTTTTCAGAACTCACCTTTCTCAGGAGCCCCTGACACTGTTGACTATGCCCTCTTTCTGGAAACATCCTTTTCACTTTGTTTCCAAGCCCCACACTCCCTGATTTCCCTCCTGCCTTACTGAGAATTTCTTCTAAGTCTCCTTGTAGGGCTCTTCTGCTCTTTGTAAATGTAGGTGTTCCTCTGAGTTCTTTATCAGGCCTTCTTTCCTTCTCATGCTACCTCAACCAAGAGGATTTCTATAAAAAGCATACATACATTCAAATCATTGCCTGTGCTTTGTTTGGCTTTATCAAATCAACAAGTAACGGAGTGATTGTTTTATGCTCCGATGATGTCATGATTTAAAATGGATCCTTTGCATTGTATCAATACTAACAGTTGGAATTTAGTGTGCCTTCTATAGCTATATAGAAATTGACTTTTCCTGATTATAAAATAATATTGTAATATCATAAAATAAATTGTTAGGAATATTCTGAATTCTGCTACCCACAGACACTTACTGTTTATTTCTGGCATGTTTCTTTTTAGATGTACTAGGTACTCTCACACATAAACACATATATTATGTACATGCATTTTACATAGTTGAGATAATTATAGTTTTCACTTATTTGTATAACTGGACATTTTCTTGTGTCATTAAGACGATTCCTAACTATTTTCATGGCTTTATAAATTCTATCATATGAACATAGAATGATATATTCAACATATTCACCTATTACTAAATACTTAGAATTTAAAATTTTTCTGCTTTTGCATTCTTTTCCATAATACACAATTTTAAATATTGATTTAGTAGGTTAAAGCATTGCGCCTTCCTGACTGAGCCTTCATACATTTTGTCAGGTCACCCAATATATTAATTATATCTATTTATATGGACGTTGGCATTTGACTTTCTTATTTATGAAGTTTTCTAAATTCAAAATGATGTCTTATAATTGCTTTGATTTGTGAGTCTTCAGTTGGTAAACAAGGTAGACTCTTTTTTTTTTTTTTAGTTTGTTTATTATTTGCATTTCTTTGAATCATTCCTACAGTTGGTTTTTCCTTTTCTTTTCCCTATTTAATATTAAATTTAAATGGAGGACTCTTGAGAAGAAAAGAAGCCACAGGATAGCATAGTCTCTCTAGCTAAATGATCCATACACAGTAACCAACGTCTCCTCCTTCATTCCACCGTGCTGAGTTACCACTGTTCACACCACCAGAGTAACACCCTCTATTTCTTATGCCAGCCTAGTGTATTCAGAGTCTGCCCTGTGAGTAACAAAGTGCAAAACTGTTTCTTCACAGCAAGGAAAATGAGAACTTGAAGGCAGAAATTCAAACAGTACTCCAGAAATCCATGATTGGTAGTGCAAGACAGATGAGCAGAGACTCCCCAGTTCCTACTAATCCTACTGATCATCAAATCAACCATGACCCAGATGATGAGGAAGAAAACAAGCACCAAGAGAACAACCAGAGCCCAGAGAACAACCAGAAATTCCTCACAGGAGCACTCACAGGCAGATTTCTGGATGGCAAAGTGAGTGACAAAAACCCAAGCTTCTTTTGGTAATTGACTAGGAAAATTCAAATTAGGTTCATACCACACACCCTTGTACTAATGGTAATTAATATATTTTGCATAGGAGGGACTTGGAATTCATTTTTTAAATCAGAAAATAAATTTGAGATCATTTTGTATATTGCATTCTGGTTGACCACCAAGTGAATTGGCCAACCTACTCTACCTGCAGCTAAATCAGTGATAATCATATAGTGATACATGTAAATGTACATGCAACCCTGGGATGTGCTCAGGGGGAAAGGTCTGTCTAACATTACAAGAAGAGGTCATTTATTTTCAAAATCCAATGCGACCAGAACTGTATATCGAAAAATTATCAGCCAAAACCATCTTGATAGAAATATATATCTCTGCACTCTGTTAAGAATCAACCAAACAATTCACAACACACTAACTTGATAATGATGAATCCATATGATTAGTAATTTGTAATTAAAAAGCAAGAATAGCAGCAATTGGAAACTGGATCCAAATCAAGACAAAACTAATGACTCATTGATAACAAAGTACCACTTCCAAAAATTGCTGAAATTGCATTTAGACGGATACATAGAGTAGGAGTTTTGCAGTGACGCCAAGCATTAAGTGACAGCCAAATATTTCAGTAGAATACTGAATTCGAGTCTGCAGTAAACTCTAACATAACTATTTTTAGTTTATAATTTTAATAGCCCTTACTAAATCACTTAGATCCTAGCTAGTCTTTAGTCATCTGAGAAAATAAAAGCCTATAGATTTGTGATCTTTTCCTCGTAAGAACTCTGTGAAGCTTATAATTTAGAGTGGTTAATGGCCCACCAGTGGACCTCAGACCATATTCTGCAAGGTCTAGTTGAACATAGGTCCCAAAAGAACAGTGACTTGCCCAGAATGTCAGTGGCACAACCTACGCTGGAAATGGTGCCTCTTAATCCCCAATTAATGTGTTCTTTCGGCTGTCTTATAAGTAGTCCTTGAATTCAGGGCCTGGTTGCAGCAGGATATAGTGCATCTGCAGAGGTGAAGTGACCTATTGTGAACTTCTAACGACCTCTGAGTTTTTACATAATTTTGACTCTGGCATTAATGTATTTATTGTTACTCCCCAAGGATAACCTTGGTAATAATATCATGTCATAAAACACTTTATTATTGACTGGTTGCTTTCAAATAAATTATATCATTTGCTATTTGGAATTAACCCCTTGAGGTAGGTACCAGTGTTTTCTCTATCACTATGGTATAGATGATAAAACTAAGGCTCAGAGGGGCACCTGAGTGGTTCAGTCAGTTAAGCATCTGACTCTTGATCTAAGTTCCTGCCATGATCTCAGGGTCATGAGTTCAAGCCTTGTGTTGGGCTCCATGCTGGGCATGAAGCCTACCTCAAAAAGGGAAGGAAAACAAAACTGAGGCTCAGAAAAGTTGAAGAGGCTCGTAAGTGTAGAGAGAAGATGTTTATCCAGGGTTTCTTCTCTCTCTTTTTTTCAAATCATCTTTCTAATTATAAAGTACTGCATACTCATGTACAATTTTGGCAGATGGAGAATATAAGAAAACTCAACCAAAGAAAAATAATAACATATTTCTTTCTTTTTTTCTCTGTGCATAGATACAGAATGAGAATCATTATGTATTTACTCCTTGTGATCCTGCTCAATTCATTTCATATTAAGAATTTTCACCCTGGCTTCAAAAAATTCTTCCTAAGCATCATCTTGAATGGTTCTATGAGAATCATACTCAGAACAAGCACTTAAATATCATTTATTATGTGCCGGGCACCATTCTAAGTTCTGTACATGTATTAACTAACTTAGTACTCCCAAGCACCCAATGAGGTAGGAACTCTTACTCTCTTCAGCCCGTACAGGAAGGAACTGAAAAACAAGGAAGTCAAGTGCCTTGCCCAGGTCCTGAGGCTGAGAAGGGACAGAGCCACAATTGAAGCCCAAGTCCTAGGTTCCTAATCACCACCAACTGTATTCATTCCTTTGTATGGATATAACATGGCTCATTTAACTAATCCCTTACTGATGGGCATTTAAGTCATTTCTAGTTTTTCTCTTATAAATGGAAATGGGTTTCTTGACACTCCCTCTACCACATCAAGCAGCCCATTCATGGAACAGATTCCGCAGTAGCCATTATCATGGCCAGAATGTTTACTGAATAAGCTGTTCTTGGACCTCCAAGATGCGGATTCTTTGCTAGCTCTGTAGTGCTAGAGGGGGATGATTTGCTCCTCCCCTCCCAGAACTCAATGAGGTTTCTTGTGGGAGACTCAGCAGGGCTAACACCCAGCCACCAAATACAGCAAGGCCTCCTGGGAGGTGTGGGTTCTGACTAATTGGTTCTGTCTGCCGAGTCTATGATGCTGGCCTGCCAGATGGCAGCCACAGTTGCCTGGTAAAGAGACCCTCATTACCACCTTGACTAAGTGGTAAATGGAATTCTGCTGCAGTGAAAGAAGTAAACCAATCAGAACTCCTTCTAGATCCTTCTCTCTCACACATAGATGAAAATAAGCTTTCCTGCCTGGGATGTAACAGGCAATCTGGACCGCCTGAATTTGCTCCAAAAGAAAAGTTGCTGATAAAGACTGAGCTAACGTGGGTGAGGACAGGCAAGTGTGAAACTCTTTTCTACATTACAGATCAAGTTTGAAGAGTATCATTAGTTAGTAGGAGGTAAGTAAAGCTGAAAATGCTATGAGAGCTCATCGTTTCATGTATCTGCGAACAGTAAGATATCTTAGAAATCAGCAAGTACAAATCTCCACTTCCGAAATGAAGAACGAGGGGCCCAGAGAGCTTTAGTGATTAGTTTGAGGCTTTACAAGTCAAGAGCCTGGCTCTTCTTAACAGTAGCCTTAGAATCCTTTTTCTCCAAATTCTGTTCCTTATGTGTCTTTGAAAATACAAATACTGTTTGTATTATTTCTCAGAAGCATCAGCTCTGCCTTCTCTCAGAAAATAAAAAAGAATGTGTGACTAGCTACAAACTCAGTAGCACGGTTTCAAAAATAAAATTAGAGCGTGTTTTTTTGCATCTGGCAGCATGAAAATGAAAAGTGTGAGTGCTTTAATTTTAATAATTATCATAGTTGATCGGTAATGTGTTCTTTTCAAAGTGCTTTTGTGTGTTTTATCTTATTTGTTCTCCACAGTACCCTGAGAGGTAGGTGGAGGCACATGATGCTATCCTCATTTTGTAGATGAAGAGACAGAGGTCAAGGACATTTCCACTTGGCCGTGCATTGGTAGATTCATCATGTTCAACACAGAACCTTTGATCCTGCTCTTTTTCTGTGGTCTGTGTCTCACAGAGTAGACTCCCATCTTAGCCGGTTATATCAGCAAGAAACCTGGGCATGCTTTCCTTCTCTCTCTCCCTGAATCTAGTATCACTGAGCCCTTTAAATCCTAACCCTTTATGTCTCTCAAAAATGCCTTCTTATTTCTGCTTCCTCTGCCATCATCCTAGTCAGACCACCATTGTACCTCAGCAAGTTGATTTTAATTATCTCCAAACTGGCTGTCCTTTTCTATGCTTCTCTCTCTGTATTGGTCAGCTACTGTAATAATACTGCTGTGTGACAAATCACCCCAATACTCAGTGGTTTATAAAAAGAATCATACATGCTCACATCTGCAGATGTGAGCTAAGACAGCTTTTGCTTTCTTTATTTAGACTTTTCTAGGCTTGGCTGCAAATGATAGATTTAGTTCAGGTCTGCTCTGGGTTTTTCTTACTGTTCTGAACCCAGTAGGCTCCTCAAGGCACGTTCTTCTTATAGGAATGGAAATGTTTCAAGACAACAGACTCTACCACAAGTACGTATTAAGTCTTTGCTTGTGTCATATCTGATGTGGGAAACAAAGGCAGAAGAAAAAATTAAATTTCCTTGCAACTTAGCCCATTGACAAGTCTGTGAGACAGGCAGAGTGACATTCCTCTGGGAATTCAACTGCCTCAATGTTAACTCTTTGCTGAGGGCAAAAAGTGATCTTAGCTTAACATTATCCTGACCTCCAGGATCCTGTAGGTTTCCTTTAACATAAAAAAAAAAATTCCTTTGGAAACTCCCTTTATCTCTACCCCCAAATATATGTTTGCAATCATCCTCTAAGCATAAAGCTCACTGATATACATCTGAAGGATCTTATTGATGTGCAAATGTTGGGGCTCTGGAGCCAACCCAAGAAAAAAATTCCTAGGATGTCTTTGGTGCAAAAAAGGTGGTTTTCTTAAAGCACAGGGATAGGACACATGGGCAGAAAGACCTGCCCTGGGATTGTGAGGAATAGTTGATTGTTTACTTGGGAGCTGGGGGAGGTAAAGACAGAGGGAAGTTTCCAAAAGCATTAAAAAAAATTTTTTTTTTACATTTATTTATTTTTGAGAGACAGAGAGAGACAGAGCACAAGTGAGGTAGGGGCAGAGCCGAAGCAGGCTCCAGGCTCTGAGCTGTCAGCACAGAGCCCAACACAGGGCTCGAACTCACAAACTGTGAGATCATGAGCCAAAGTTGGAAGCTTAACTGACAGAGCCACCCAGGTGCCCCTACAAAAGCATTTTAATATGCTAAAGAAGACACATGGGATACTGGAGGCCTACTTATTGTCAAGCTAAGGCTATTTTTCCCTCAAGGAAAGTATCAATATTAAAACAGTTGGGAATTCCTGGAGGAATGTTTTACTCTGCCAGCCTCAAGTATTTGTCAATGGGCTGCAGGTTCTAAGGAAATTTGATATTATCTACATTTCCTTTTTGCCTTTATTCCACATAATTATGATTAAGGTTTTATTAGACAGTAACAAATGACCTTATCCTAACAATAGCTGGCTCTTTCAAGGTCCTAGAAACCTTGCTTCCAAAATTCCTTGGAGACTTATGCTATCCCTAACCCCCTCCCAACTTGAAAGTATATAATCAGTCACCCATTACAACCCCAGTGCAGCTCTTCTGCCCAT